TTTAGGGTTTGGGGTTTGGGGTTCCAGGCTGGCCTGTCAGAGGAGCAGCCTCGAGATTCTCGGATTTAGGGCTTAGGGTTTAGGTTGAAAAGGATTATTAAATAGCCCTAAGTGCGGAAACAGTATATTAATATACTTTGGCCTTAAAGTAATCCCTATTTACGTGCTAACTAGATTTGCTGCAAAGATCTAGGGTGGCGCTTTAAAGCCTCGGATATCCAGTCGTGAAAAAGATCCTCCTCAGGCCAAAGAAGGGAAGTTTTATAATTTCCCAAAGAACTACACAAACAATTCTGCTATATGCTTTGGCCTTGATCTGTATAATCCCTAAATCGAAAACAGTATATACTGTTGGGTACACAGATCGTCACGGGCTTGGAGCAGGATCTTAAGCTGTCTTAAACTTTAAGTTGCTCTTGCTTTTAGGATTTAGGGTTCCTTCGCTTTTTTGGAATGATTCGGCGCACTGCGATTGTCCGGGCTTCGTGGCCTCACAATCATACAGCTTGAGGGTATGAGCATCTCATTCCTGGATAGGTCTATATAAGATAGGCTCAGCTGTTGCATAAGTTTCAAGAGGGCTGAGCACGTCGTAAGTTACCTTTCCTTGGACCTAAAGCCCCCAACTCCTAAACCCCAAGGCTACCTACACTTGGTTTAGGGTTTAGGGTTTAGGGTTTCCCTCCACCTAAGCATCTAATTGCTAAGCCCTAATGTTATCTTGATTTACCCTCAAACCCTAAGGTCACTGATTAGCCAGCAACCATGTTAATAATCATGACAATCTGACGTTGGACATGTCTAAAAACTTGCTAAAAATAATGGGCTCTGACTTACCAATACCGCGAAGCCGTGCCGTTGCCTTGGAGTCTGGGGACTTTGCGTTCGCAGGGTTCGGGGTTTAGAACTGCAAGAACTAAACCGAAAAAGTGCCTTCTGACACTGCGACGAGCCATGTACCCCAGTAACAAAAGCTTGCCAAGCTGCATGCCGGGCTAACCTAACCAACAAAAACACTCCTAAAGCCCTAGCAGATCAAAGTCCGATTTAAGGCTTCGGGTTAGACCCCAAAGCACAACATCCCACATCAGGGTTTAGGGTTTAGGGTTACACCCTCAGTAGAGCGTGGTCGACCAAAGCAAGTTGGCGAAGTCTCTTCTTCGGAGAGCGGAATGGAGAAATCAAGCGTCTGCAACCTGAGAGCTGGGATTGGAGAGGGTGTTTTGTGGAGTTTAGGGTTTAGGGTTTAGGTTTTAAGGTTTAGGGCTGTAGTCTCCATTGTAGTTGCTGCTCTGGATGACAACTTTTTTGTATTTAGGATCCTACAGTATGAGATAAACCCTAAAACCTGCAAGCCCTACACCCTAATAAGCCCTAAACCCTACACCCGTTACCCTAAACCCCTAAACACCTGTAATAACTTAGCTGTCCAGTACCCTGGCCCAAAAAAGTTTAAACTTTTCTTTTGGTAGGGGTTTAGGGTTTAGGGTTATACCAAAAAAGTTTAAAGTTTACCTATTGGGCTCCTAAGATAACCCTAAACCCTAAACCCTAAACCCTAAACCCTAAACCCTGAATCAAACTTGGGGGGTGGTGGGGGCCGGCCCGAGTCTCCGCTGCTCGGAAAGCGCTGGAGGTTCCATGAAACCCGAGGGTTTAGGGCTTGGGGTTTGGGGTTGGGGTTTAGGGTTTAGGGTTTAGGGTTTAGGGTTTAGGGTTTAGGGTTTAGGGTTTAGGGTTTAGGGTTTAGGGCTTGGGGTTTGGGGAAACCTAAACCCTAAACCTAAACCCTAAACCCTAAATTACTAAACCCTAAACCCTAAACCCTAAACCCTAAAGCCTAAACCCTAAATAGGGTTTGGGTGCCCGGTCTCCTCCGTCACACATGTGGGTGGGGAACATGGGAAGTTTGCTAATCGGATCTTCCACAAAGGGTTTAGGGTTTAGGGTTTAGGGACCCTGTCCAATCCCCGAATAGCTCAATCCCCGAATAGCTCATACAAGTCCTCGTAGCCCGAGACGCATTTCTTGGACATAGGAACTGGCCAACAGCTGCGTCTATGCAAGTAAGTGTATCACCCGTGTAGCTTGCTAAGACTGCTAAGTTCAGTCATAGGTCAATGTAGAAATTTGAACGATTCACCCAACATGGGAAGCGTCGAAAACTGAGAACTAAGTGAACTACGTGATATAACTAGAATTGGCATGCCCTTCCTTTGTAGTGCCTATATACTTGTACTACCATCTAGACTCAAGCCCTCTGAAATCTTGGCAAACCGTCTGAAATCTTGGCAAACCCCTCTTCAAGACCTCATTCTCGCTGTTTGAGGTCCCTATAACAGGGCACCAATAGCAACCCTCATGGTAACCCTAAACCCTAAACGTTTAAGGCCATATTTCCCGGGAACCCTGATAGTAACTGCAGCAAGCCTTGTAGTAACCCTAAACCTGTAACGCCCTAAACCCCAAACCCGAAGAACCCAGCAAGCTTAATATCCTAAAGAGTCAAGCCAACAGGGAAATCAAACACAATCCCAAATCGCTGGCCAGCTACGACTGTAGAATTGTGATTCGAGGTTGAGGTGCTAACTGCTATGAAAGGTGCTACTTTCAGAAACCCTAAACCCTAAACCCTAGACCCTAAACCCTAAACTTAACAAAGGTGCTACTTTCAGGGCTTAGCAACTCCGAACACCCCGAACCCAAAACCAACAACACATCCACGAAAGCCGGCTGCAACTGCCTACTTGGAGGTTCATGGGTAGTTATAAGTTGGTTATAAGCCCCCTAATATGGGTTATAATTCTAGTTACCCTATTTATAACCCCATTTATAACTACCCATGAACCTCCAAGTAGAGGTTCGGCGACTTAGGAATCAGGCTAGAAGTCAGATTAAAAGGACAATCTCAACCTAAACCCTAATCCCAAGTAGGGTTCTTATAACGCTACTTACTGCATGCAGTGAGCCGTTACATCCTTATAGGGACTAAACCTGCAACACATTTTAACACTCGACTGGCAGGCTCTAGATGCTTGGGGTTGGTCTTCTGACATCTCCTGAAACCCAACACCTTGTGGGTTTTGGGTTTCGGGTTTAGGGTTTCGGGTTTAAAGCCTTAACCCTAAACCCCCAAAAAGCCGAAGCTCAGTGCTGCATCGAAGAAACGCCAAACAAAGCTTCTGCAATGGCAAGGGTGACCGGCGGAAAGCGATGGCTAACTGCTGCGCCCGGTTCCTCCATTTTCGCACGTAGCGTTTAGGATAAACACAAAAGCAAAAATTAGGATAGGGATATCCCATATAAACCCCCTTATCATGAAGCCCAATAATTTATAATAAGGTAGGGATATCCCTAGAAACTGCTTATGCTTATGTCCCTTTTGGGTCCCCAATGAACTGTGGTCCGAAACCACCAACATCGAGTTTCAGGGCACAGATGACTCCCGCCAGGCTATCCTCAACTGTGAGGATCACGATTGTCGCATCAATCTCATCATCCACAGCAGCGGCAACCCAATTACAAGAAGCCAGAGCAGCTGCAACAAAAAAACGCTTCTACCCATAGGCTCCATAGTAGTTCCTTTTTGGGATTACTTTATAGGATTCTAAATATGAACCCCAAAGAGGAACTTGATTGGGGCCTGTGGGTAATGTCTAAACCCCTCTGAGCCTCTGCTCCCTAAACTCTAACCCCAGCATCCGACCCTAACTCCCCAAATTCAAAAACCCTACGACACCCCGCAAAAACTCCAAAAACCCCAAAACCCACAACCCAAAATCCAAAAGCAACAGCCCCAAAGCCGCGTCCTATCCAGAAGGCAGACGCCGGAGCTCTTGGGGACGAAAGCGCTCGGCCGAGCTGTTTGCTGCACCACCGAAGCTGCCAAGACCTCTTTAGGGGTTTAGGGTTTTGGGGTTAGGGGTGTAGGGTTTCAGGGATTAGGGTTAAGGGGGTTTAGGGTTTCAGGTTTTGGGGGTTTTCAGGGTTTAGAGCACAAGGGATCCTTGGTTGTAGGGAACCTGCAGAGAACCTCGAAGAGCACTAGGGGGAATAGGGGACTGTTGTAAAAACTATTCAACTAGGTTGGCCTTTAATCGCCTTCCAAAAATGTTTGCAAGCAAGATCCTCTTTGGCCGAATGAGGGAAAAGATAAAAATGTCCCGAAGGCCGACCTCCTCAAGGTCCAAGACTCCGACTTGCTAAGCAAGTTGCACCCCCGCCAAAGCCCCCAACCCTAAACCCTAA